GTAAACAAGGGTTGGTCCCATTTGAACCGGCTGGACTGGTCTAACAATACCCCCACTCCTGAAGACCCATTTTGTCCTCAAGATGAAAGGAAAGAAACGGATGTTTCACTCTCCTATGACCCTCATGTGGCATCATAGTCATGTAGGTTCTTCCATTTTATCAGCGCTTCATTTATCCCTTCTTCTTTCTGTTGTAATCCTTTCAGCTCCAGTGGTTCTAACACCACTTCAAAATGTTGTTAGTATTACTGGTAACTCTGAATTGGATGCATGATCCCTAATAACTCTTCTCAACTGAGACACGTGGAACACTGGGTGTATGATAACAACCAAGGTAATCTCAATCGATAAGCCATTACTCCAATCCTCTCCAATATCTTATAAGGGCCTAAGTACCTCTTGGTCAGCTTCTCATTCCTCTTGTTAGCTACCGTCATTTGTATGTAGGGACGGAGCTTCACATATACCATATCTTTTATCTCGAATTGGATGTCCTTCCTCCGCCCATCTGTCCGCTTCTTCATGATATGTTGAGCCCTTAATAAATGCCTTTTTTAATTCATTCAACACCCTATCCATCTCCTCTAAGTACTGCTCTACTGAAGAGATTAGTGTACTACTCTGCCTAAAGTGCACCAAGTGAGGTGGACCCCTTTCGTACAACACTTTGAAGGGAGTCATGTGAGAAGCTAAATGATATGAAGTGTTGTATCAGTACTCTGCCCATGCTAGCCATTTGGCCCACAACCGAGGTGTCTCTAAAGAAAAACATCGCAAGCATGTATCCAAGCTCCTATTTATCACCTCAATCTGTCTGGGATGATAATTTCACACTACAGGATCTATATTTGTCTTTTATTTTAGCATTTAGCTAGAATTTATCAATTTCTTGTGAATAGCGGAAAGAATTATGCATGCTATCCAGAGTCATATCATAGGATCCTTACCTTTACCTGAAATCATGTAAAATCTTGTAATGAGCACATATCTTGTAAGTAACCTAAATCTTATTATTAAAATCAATGCAAGATAAAATATAATAGTATGTTGTAAATCATATAAAAAAATATGCGCATCAATGTATATATACCTGTTGCGTCCTGGAATATTCGCGGCAGTAGAGAAATATATAGTTTAACGTCTTAGCATTGTACGAAGATCTAGCACACAATTAGATAAGTGAGAGGGTGTAGCGTTCATAAGAGACACCAGAGTTTTTACGTGGAAAACCCTTGAAAAGGGGAAAAACCACGGGGCCTAGCCCAGTTGAAAATGATTCCACTATAATTTGAGTCGGTTACAAAGGGCTGACCGCCTCCAAGGGCGATCAGATTACAATTAGCAATTGTTTGATAGAAGTCTGGCGTTAGACCCGGTGTCACTTGATAGTACCCTGGCGTCACCTGGAAGTTCGGGTGTTAGTTGGTAGTCTGGCCTTAAGCAGAATGTCGGGTCTTTAGCAGAACGTTGTGCCTGAACGTCGGGCCTTGAGCAGAACGTTGGGCCTTTAGCAGAATGTCGGGCCTTGAGCAAAACGTTGGGCCTTCAGCAGAACTTCAGACATTGAGCAGAACGTTGGGCCTTTAGCAGAATGTCGGGACTTGAGCAGAACGTTGGGCCTTCAACAGAACGTCGGGACTTGAGCAGAATGTCGGGCCTGAACGTCGGGCCTTGAGGTGGTGGTGCAACGAAGCTCCGGCGGTGGTCTGGCGAGGTTCCTGCGGTGGTCCGGCGAGATTCCTGCGGTGGTCCGGCGATGTTTCGGCGGTGGTCAAGGAGGAGCTTCTTCCTTCTCTTCTCTTCTTGCTTGGGTCCCCCCTTTCAAGAGAAATGAGGGGTCTATTTATAAATTTTTTGGAGTGGCATGCCCCGTAAATAGGTGAGAGATCAAGGGTAAATGGGGAGTGGTTGGATGGACGACCGATATTGAACCCTTTGATCATGGACCGTTCGTCAGGAATTTGGAGGTCTTAATGATTTTGGAATTCGGTGATATTGGGCTCGTTGGATTCGTCTCGTCGAGCCGTTCGATTCGAGTATAAGCTCGTTAAAATTGGAGACCGTTTGGTAACTCAAATTGTGGTTTGAACCTTCCAACAGTGCTTCGGGTCCTTGATTTGTACTCATTTGGACTCGGACTGAGTTGAATTTGGTGTCGTTGGGTTTGTATTTTCGAGACGCTCAGTTTGACTGTAAGCTTGCTGAAATCGGAGTTCAGGTGCTCCCGGATTTAATTTTTGAAGTTCCCATCCTGATTTTTGCCTCGAGATTCGTGCCCGGTCAAGATAATTTCATGATGACGTATCAATACCAGTTATTTGTATCAATAATAAGTCTATAACATATAATATCTCAGCCAATTTTGTTTCATTCTTCCATAGTCAATCAGTTAGTCAGTCGATCTTTATCACTCAATCACTTCCATTCAATCTTATCATCCATTTATCTCACATCAATCTATTAGTTATAGTTACAATATCAATAACAATATTGGGTATCAATAACAAAATTGTATAAGTATTCTTAGTGTCTGTCACATTAACAGTAACAATAGTTAATAATAATAATCAGTAACAATGATTAGTGTTCATAATATTAATATACGTACAATATCAATATCAGTAATAATATTCAGATATTTAGAAGAGGGTATCTTGCTCATGCACTTATAATTCTGAATTAATTGTCCTTTATGACTCTTAATCAGTATGCTCCTTATAACTCCCCTCGAATCATATAAATCAATCGCCACGACTCCTTATAACTCATATTCAATCTCCAACTTATTATAAATCGTATCATATTATTCAGACTGATCAAATCTATAACAATCAAAAGTTATACGATAACTTATAAAATCATGATATAACGTATTTTTGATAGATTTAAGAGAGATAAATTCGTAGAAATCAAAATCATCAAAAACAGAAATAAGAAGATAGTTAATTACAACGAATTGCATAAAATTCTGTAACATAAAAGACGTACAAATATGACTCAAAGACCTTCCTCTCTATTTTCTCTTCTTCTCTTCATTTAATTTCTTTCTGGCCAAGCAACCAAGTGAGAGAGATAGTTGGGTGAGGCAATGTTATTTATAATGAAAAAATATAAAAACAAGATTACTGGCTTAACACCACAGCGTTCTACTTCAGAATTTTCATGTTTAAGAATTTAACTTCTTTTTACTTAAAGGGGTTTCACAGGTAAGCAGTACTCCTCTTCAACATTGTCCCTTGTAGACTAGAGAACATCTTATCTCGACCAGACACTATAGATTCTAGTATCACATGCAGTCTGACCACATCTTTGATGAATGTTGTTGCCACTATCACTATCATGTAAGGATGTCGTAGGAGAATAAAATGAGCATACTTGCTCAATCTATCCACCACCACCAAAATCACTATAATCCCCTTAAATCGGGTAACACATCTATAAAATTCATGGTGATATTCTCCCACACTCTGTCTAGAAGGGTTAAGGGTTGTATTAATACTCCTAGAGTCATGACCATGTATTTGCTCCTCTAGCATATCTCACATCTAGCCACAATCTCCTCCACATCCCCTTCCAATACAACTCTGCTACCAATCTCATGCATGTCTTCTGCACCCTTGAATGACCCCAACAACGCTTCCGTGGAACTCCTGCAATAGGTGTGGAATATGAATCGAGGTTCGAGGCAATATAAACCTCCCATTGTACAGTAGTATGTTCCCTTCTAGGGAATAGCTAGGGTGGTGTTACTCTTATCCCTTAGTAGATATGTCATAATCCTCGTCAACTCCTCGTCCTGCACACTCTCCTTCTTAACAACCCACCAATCCAACATCAATGGTATCGAAATGAACGACTCCTGGAGCTCCCCCATGCATCTGGACAAGACATCACCCACCTTGTTCTCTAGCCCCGGTCTATACTTAATCTCAAAACATACCCCAATAACTTTGATAGCCACCTTTGATGTTCCTCGGTTACCTGAGAGAAAGAGGGGATGTGGCAATGCGGCTATATCTATGAAATGGCTTCGATGACATGCGAGGGTTGCTTCTTCCATTCCTAAGAGTTTCTCGAACATTGCTTTTGAGTCTTCTGTTGGGAGAACAAAGCTGGGAGAATAGGCATAGGAGAAAGCTCAAGTCTCTGAGTGAAATGCATGCCTTGGATGAGAAGTGGAGGGTTGTGAGCTTTGGAAAGTCAAAGCTCAATTTTGCGTCTACTCACATGCGAGAGAGTCCTCTTGTTGCTTTTAAAGGGTGTGGAAGAAGACAAAATAAGCATTTGGGATAACATATATAGGCTAGGAGTGAGAGGCGGCTTTTTGCTTTCATTTTCTAAGAGATTTGTTGAGCATAACATATATATACATCCATACTTTTTAGGCTTGATTTATTTATGTGGAGAGCTGGAGAAGGCTTGATATCTTTTCACAGACAACATTAGATCCAGTAATATATTAATAAACTTGTCCTCAAGACTATAATGTTCTCTGGCCTATGTTTTCTTAAAAAAACGAGCCAATTTTAACCTCCTATTTTCTGTTCAGTATGCACATACATCTTTTTTATTATAGATAAAGAAAAAATGATCAAAATGATCCTTTGACTCTTTATGAAGGATCAAAATAGTCTTAAACTATATTAAAGGATAATTTTGGTCCCTAACTTCTTAAAGAGGAACTAAAAAAGTCTCATACTGAGACTATTTTAGTTCTTTTTTAAAGATTTGAGGAAAAAATGATTATTTAATATAGTTGGGACCGTTTTGATCCTTCATAAAGAGTCAAGAGATCATTTTAATCCTTTTCTAGATAGATAAATATTAAAATATATATATGACTTAGCTAGACCAGTATTGATGAAATACTTGTCTTTTCGGATCTACTCACAACATTATCCTGTTTGATAGTGTATGTTTATGTTTTTTCTGATTATCTTTTACTATATACACATTATCTAATAAGCTCACCTATGTACATATTTACCCACATCAAGCAGATTTGAAACTCTACATTCATGGCTGATGATTCTGCAAATAAAAAACAACCCTTGCTCTCTGGCTTAGCCGATCAAAACATAGGAACTGTTAAGAAAAGAAGATTTCGCCGCTGTAAAACCACACCTGCTTCTGATGCTGATTTCTTTGGCTCATATAAAGGTCGTGAGTTGTTTCCCGGTTCTAACTCCATCTTAAGAAATTTCCGTCCCAGCTTCAGGCAAGCTTCTCTCCTTTTAATCATCTACTTGATAGTTGGCTGTACTTGCTTCTATCTTGTGAGGGATCAAATTGTTGGTAAAAAAACAAATGGAATTCTTGATGCTTTATACTTCTGCATTGTGACAATGACCACTGTTGGTTATGGAGATCTAGTGCCAGAGAGTGTTCCAGCAAAGCTTCTTGCTTGTGCGTTTGTGTTTAGTGGAATGGCCTTTGTTGCTCTCTTCCTTGGCAAAGCAGCCGATTACCTTGTAGAGAAGCAGGAGGTGCTATTAGTCAAAGCAGTACACCTTCGACGAAAGGTCGGCACGCGGCAAATGATGAAGGAGATCGAGGCAAAAAGAGTTGAATACAAATTCTTCACCATTGTTGTGGCTCTTCTGGTGCTAGTAACTTTGGGAACTATAATTCTTGTGAAGATTGAGAAACTAAACATCATTGATGCTTTTTACTGTGTTTGTGCCACCATCACAACTCTCGGTTATGGCGATAAGAGCTTCTCGACGACATTTGGTCGGGTTTTTGCTGTTTTCTGGATTCTGACCAGTACCATTTGTTTAGCTCAGTTCTTTCTGTATCTCGCGGAAATACAGATGGAACACAGGCAACAAACCCTGGTCAAGTGGGTGCTTACGAGAAGGATGACTGTAGTGGATCTTGAAGCGGCTGATTTAGATGATGATGGTGTTGTGAGGTAAGTTTTTGAACCAGAAGTTTCTTAAATTTTGATACATTGATCTTATTGCTTGTGAATGAGTTTAGCATTGCTTCCTGAGTTATAAAAAATAAGCTCGTTGTTCTCATTTGATTGTGTTAGTCTCAATAAGTAGCTCGGTTATGGTTAGTTTTTAATGAGGCAATCACGAACAAGACCTTGTTCTATCGTATTCGGCTTTATATAAAGTTTATTGTGCTTACACACACGAGTATTTTCATACATTTAATGTTTCTATGGATATGTATGTAGGGGCTGTTTGGTTTGAAGTAAATGGGGTGTAAAGCATTTCAAATGTATGGGTTTTAAGAATATTGATGTTTGATTTGAAGTAAAATAAATAGTGTAAAATTTTGGTGCATTTGGAATTCACTCTCTAGTTATATTTATTGTATTTGGAATCCTCAAATTTGGGCGAGTTTCAAATACACCATAAATTTATCGTCTTTGTTGCCGCCTGCTGCCACCACCAACCACCGTTGGTCGTTGTCCGCTGCTGTAAACTACCACCTCAGGCCTGCTGCCACTACTGTCATCGACCAGAAACCATGATCGTTACCACCGGCGATCGACTAGCCACCACCACTATCACCATCTCTATCGCCACCCACTGTCGTCATTAGCCACCGCCCACCACTGGCTGCCATCATCCACTACCGACTGCCACTGTTGGCTGCCACCACCCACCACCGCCAACCACCCTTTTTGGACTTTACATTGCACTCATTTTATTTCAAACAAACAAGAAAAAGTAATTGCATGCTTTCATTTTACAATCATTCAAATAACTCTAAATATTCATTTTACACTACATTCCATTTACACTGCATTCCTTTTACACCGCATTCTTTTTTCAAACAACCAAAGACCCCTTATATTATACAATTTATATATGAATTTTTCAAGTTCACTATATGTTTGTTAACAGTACATGTTCGGCTTGATAATTTAACAAAGCCAACAAAGAAAATTTTTTACTTGTTTGCTTAACAAGCCAAGTTGAGCCGAACAACCCTTGAGCTCTCTCAAGCCCGAGTTGCTTACACCCCAAATTGACTCAAATGGTTGTTTACAGTGCTGCTGAGTTTGTGATATACAAGCTAAAGGAGATGGGGAAGATCAACCAAGAAGATGTTGCTTTAGTTTTGGAGGAGTTTGAGAATCTTGACGTAGATCAATCTGGCACCATATCAAATTCAGATTTGCTTCTCGCTCAATCAGTCGAATAGGTGAGCTGAGCCGAAGATTTCTTTCTTCCACAGCTTCACATAATGTGCAGTGCTTCTAACTTCATACAGATATAATCTTCTTCCTGCTATTTGTTTATTTTACTTTTTTGTTTTGTTGATGGTTTTCACTGTATGAATCAAGGTGAAGAGCCGAGCAGAATTGTTTAAAGAGTGGTTTCTTTTTGCTTGGCGTTTCAATGGCGGTCTTATTTTAGGATTGGAAGTCTTGTTTATTATTTCTGTTTTGCAAAAAAATTAGTGTTCAATGAAGTTCAATATATGTAGTTGATTATTGTTGTCATCTACCAAGTTATTGTATACTTTGAGAAGCCTTAACATTTTTTACTGAAATTATGTTTTAAAAAGCAATAAAAAAAGTCGTCCCAAACGAATTCTAAATCTTCATGCAAGCTCTATAGTGAAAATTTGTCTTGTATATTTTATATGAATGTCTCTCAATTTTAGCAGAGTAGCATATTATTTTGACTGAGGTTTTATTTGGGGTGATTTTCTTATTGATTCTTTAAAGCAGTTTTTAGTAAAAAAAATTAATTTTTTATTAAGAAGCTGTTTTTAAAATTAGTAAGAAAGTCATCCCAAACAAAATCTAAATGTTATGCGTGCTCATTCATTTTTCCCTAAGGAGCTTCTCATGTATTTTTTTCATTATCTAAGATGTGTTATTAAAAATAATAAAATAGAGATTAGAGCTTTTTTTAGAAGCTATTCAGAATTATTTTCTCATTATATATTTTTTATATTTTGATATGACATAAAATATATTTGATTGACTAGCTGCAATGGTGACTTGTAGTTAGTGGTGGTGGGTGGTGGCCAAAGTATTTTTAATTTAAAACTTAAAATATCTACAAATTGATTTTGTGTATTTAAAAATAAGTTTGATTTATTTAAAAAATAATAAAAATAAAGAACGCATATAATGAAAACCTAGGCTTATTTCATTTATCATATCATGCTTAATTTAAGGAATATATATAATTTTATTTCATGCTATTTACATAACTGATGCCCAAAATATTAATATTATATGTCTAGGCATGTAATATTAATATTTTGGGTGTTAGATATATAAATAGCATGAAATAAAATGTTATGTATGTAAATCTCCCTAATTTGTAAACAACAATTTTAGTTTATGTGAAAAAAAAAAACTTTAATATTAAATTTTAGAAAATCATAATATATGTTCTGATTTAAATTAAAGAAAATTAATATACATTTATTGTAAAACTAAAATTAATTAGAGCAATAATAATAATAATAATCATATTAGACTAATTGTAAAAAGCACAACACTTGAACTTGCTCCTTGCACCACTTGGTCAAGTGGCAAAAAACTAATTTCAAAGTAATAAATATAAAAAAGGGGTGAACCAAATATGATCAACCTACTAAAAAATAAATTTTATTTTTTTATATGTTAAAATAAGACTTAAAAAAAGAATTAATCAATGCCATAAAGCACAAAATATGTTTATAAGCAAACTTAACACAATATTAGCTTATTAGCATAAAATAATTTTTTTTTCAATGTACTTTAAGCTTTTTTATTTTTATTTATAAAAGCTCCTTTCTTAATCATAATTTTAAAAATATATTTTTTTTAAAAAAAAAAAGCTTTTTAAAGATAACATATTATTTTTATTAACTACTTTTCTAATAAAAAATAGTGAAAAGGTGCTCCAAATAAAGTCTAAATCACAAGTCTTAACACTAATGAAATAATTATAGACAATCTTACAAGCCAAGAATGGCTATAGGGTTTAGAAGTTCTCATGGAAACATAGTTTTCTCTTTTTTATTTATCCACTCTCTGAAGAATTTCTTCAAAGCTACTTAATCTTAATCAACCAATTTTTAGCATGAGTAATTAATGGTTGCACATAGAAGTTTGGTAGTATTGAAAGAAATTTTTCTATGATGAGCATTCCTTACTGCACCTATTAAATTAACATAATTGCTCAGATGATATGTAGGTTTTGTTTGGGACAGTTTTTTTTATTACTTTATGAACACTACACGAAAACCTTCTATTATCGTCAGACTTTCTAACGCACGAATTACCATTGTATGAATATCCGCCAGAAATTTGCCGGAAAAATAAGATTTCCAGCAGATTTCCCTTGTTACCGGTGGATTTTGTCCACCGGTAATAAACTATTTTCCTGTGGTGGAAGCAGTTTTTTAGTACAATTTTTTGTCAATTTAAAATATTTGTACTGAAAAGCTACTTCATAACGTATTAAAAAAAACTGTCCCAAATGAAGCCATAAGCTGATATATGAAAATTTTCATTTAAATATTTTTGAATGCTTAGAAATATTTAAGTGAGATGAAGAAAAAAAAGGTTGAAAAGAGCTAATATTCAATACCTGCAATTGCTAACAAATGAATTTCATTTCCTTCACTTCAATCCAAACAAACAAAACCTTATAGTTTGTTATTTAAAATTTTAAATAGTAGTATTTAATGCAAGCTATGCATCCTTCGTTGGCTTTTGCTTTTGGGTTGAAAAAAGATTATATTACATTAGGCTAATAATAAAACTTAGAGCAAAACCAAAGAAATATAAAGAACAAACCGACCAAAGATCAAAAATATAATGCATGTATATCTACGTGATTCAGCAAGATCCATCTACATCTAAAGCTGCCTCAACAAAGATATATGAAGAGATTACACTCAATATAAATAAGGATAAGAATGCCATTTCATCAATACCACTAACTACGAGGGAATGCAGCTTGTTATGAATAACGTGAAGGTTAGGATGAATTATTATGTGCGGCATCGGACGAAAGAATGATCTGATTTTGTCTTTGTGAATAGTAAAAGTCTAATGAGTTGCGCTTTTATTATTCATAGAGACAAAACTGAATAGTTCTTCATGTCTGGTGTCCGCACATAATAATTTCTCGAAGGTTAGACGCAATATCTCACGTTCTAGACTGTAAAAGTCTAATAAAATATTTAGAAGTCCAATTAAAAACTTATTATTTTGATAGAGCAAAAAAAGCAGCACATCTCCCTTCTTATAGAAGTCGAAGATCTCCCTCTTACCAGCGAATTTTTATTTGGTCTGGTGTCCTGACGTAGCTCTACGTTCGGACGCCAATAACATGTCGCCACGTGCTCTTATTCTTTACCGCGCAGCTCGACGACCCGACCCGGACTGGAACCCAGTATTGCTATGTTCGAGTATTGCTTGGCATTGCTAAGTATTGCTAGGTATTGCTTGGCAATAACGAGAAATAAAATGTGAATAAATCTTGAATAAATGTGAATAAATCTTGAATAAATGTGAATAAATCTTGAATTTGATAGCAATCAGTCTTAAAAATAAAATGTGAATATATAAAGCATTAGTTTGGTAGCTATTGATATTGAAAATTAAAATTAAAACTTATCCTGGTAATTAAGAGAATTTATACTTCATACTAATAATCTCCTACTTAAAATTAACATTTTTTATATACCCTAGTATGTAACACCTAAAGATCAAAATTGAAAGAATTGTCTATTTTAATATCTTAATTAACCAACAAGAGCTTTTATGAATTCATCAATATAACTAATTATATTCATTTCTTAAAATTAATATTTATAATAGGCAAGAGTTCAATTCATATATTCATCAGTCTATCTTTTATTTGTTTATTATAAAAGAATAAAACTAAAAAAAATACATAGACAAAATAAAAACTAAATTCCTTATATGTCTTCACTCCATTGGATTCTGATCCATTCTAGAAAATATGTAAGGCCACATAGCGAGTTAATGACTCAGTAGATTTACCACAAAACTTACAATTGAAATCAATGTAATACACTATAAATAGTATGCATTTAATCATTTAATCAATATCAGTATGAACATATAACTATAAAAAATTATAACAATCAATGAAATAATATGTCATATGATAAAAAAACATTAGTACAACTGTATATCTTAAGAGTAATGATCAATAACCAAGTAAATACTATTAGTAAGTTCTGTAAATTCTATACCCATTAGTTACAAAATAGTTTATATAGCATCTTATCACATCAGTACATTTATTATTATTATATGCATGTCGTATAATGTCTATGTTATGCATGTATATCATGTAAATAATATGATTTATATACATCAAATGCATTTGTATCAGTTTTATCAGCCTTATCAAATACTTGTATCAATCATAGCTTAATCTTATACAAACTATGTCATGTCAATTATATAATTTATTATTATTATTATTATTAATTATAATAATAATAATAATAATAAATTATATAATTGACATGACATAGTTTGTATAAGATTAAGCTATGATTGATACAAGTATTTGATAAGGCTGATAAAACTGATACAAATGCATTTGATGTATATAAATCATATTATTTACATGATATACATGCATAACATAGACATTATACGACATGCATATAATAATAATAAATGTACTGATGTGATAAGATGCTATATAAACTATTTTGTAACTACTGGGTATAGAATTTACAGAACTTACTAATAGTATTTACTTGGTTATTGATCATTACTCTTAAGATATACAGTTATACTAATGTTTTTTTATCATATGACATATTATTTCATTGATTGTTATAATTTTTTATAGTTATATGTTCATACTGATATTGATTAAATGATTACATGCATACTATTTATAGTGTATTACATTGATTTCAATTGTAGGTTTTGTGGTAATCTACTGAGTCATTAACTCGCTATGTGGTCTTACATATTTTCTAGAATGGATCAGAATCCAATGGAGTGAAGACATATAAGGAATTTAGTTTTTATTTTGTCTATGTATTTTTTTTGTTTCGGCCGAAGAAAGTAAATTAAGTTGCAAATAACAAAATAATAATAATGCTTTACATCATTAGAGAGCAAAAAGTTGAAGACCAAAAATTCTCAAAAGAAAAATGTTAGTCCAACCAATAACGACAAATAGAATATAAAAAGAGACATCACATTCAAAAAAAAAAAAAATGTGATGCATTTTCAAAATGAGAAAAACAGAGGATGCATAAATGATCAATAGGAATACTCCTAATGAGTTGATCAACATTTTTAAAGCCACCCGCCAGCATCAACCAAATTAGGTAAAATTAATGATTTTATGACAGAATGCACTTACCGTACAGAGCCCTACATGGGGTCCTGGTTGGATACCCATTGGGTACCCACACTCTGCGTTGGCGGGCTTTGCCCACCCACACCCACATATGGTGACTTTTCGGATGTCATACCCACCCACACCCACCAACTTTCTACGCTTAATGAATGCAGTCTGTCATAGAATAATGGCCTTGATGTTTTTTGCCATTTTCTCTGACTGTAAACTTTCAAGCCACATATCAAAATTTATCATGGTTGTGACGAGGTTCAGTGTTGCGCACTGCATAGTAAGGATTATTATAATATACTGCATGTATATGATGATTAGTAATGTAAAACGATTCTCCTCTGATGTTGAATACCCACTCATACCCACCCACGAGGCTATGGGCGTACCCATACCCACCCATGCCCATTGGGTATGGGTGGGTACGTGGGTAGGTGTGGGTATGGGTACCAAATGCAGGGCTCTGGTTAAAAACCACTAGATCATTTGCTACAAGCTTTTTTGTAGTGTTTCATCTCTTGGTTATTCTAAATGTTTGTCTGCCTTGCAATGCTCATCTTTTTCTTAGAAACTACAACTTGATAGAAACTTTATTTTATACTTCTTATAGAGTCATCAGCAATAAGGGTTTTATATACATTGTACCATTCTTCTGTTTATGAGAAGACAAAATATCTACTAACTCTGTTTCTTAATTTTCAAGACAACTAACAACCCCTAATAAATTTTAAAGGTTTCAATATCACTTTAAAATCTATATCCTAGAATCTTTCACACCGACAACATAAAATCCTACTGAGCAAAATTCATATTTTTAGAAATTTATCAAATTACAAGAGATTGTATATAACAATATTTTGAAGCTCTAATTGAACTAAAACATTATTTTTAAGGGAAATTTACATGCATACCACTTTATTTCATGTTATTTATATATCTAATACCTAAAATATTAATATTACATGTCTATCACCCATATAAAACTTTAATATCAAATATATCACTCCTATAATTCATTTATACCATTCATATCAGCCTATAAACTTTAATATTTGATTCCATGCACTCAAATTTGTTCTATGGGTGGTAAGCATGTAACATTAATGTTTTGGGTGTTAGATATGTAAATAGCATAAAACAAAGTGGTATGTATGTAAATCCTCCTATTTTTAAATGTCAAAATAAACTTATGAATAGATAACAATGAAAAATTTTAAATAAATACTCAAAACATCTATAATCTCAATCTCTATAATATATAAAAAATTATACAGTGGAAATTTTAATAACACAAAATTATCCTCATTTTTTGATAATGGAAATACAAAATTGATAGGAAAACCATCAAAAACAATAAATTATTAAAATCAGAAATTGAATAATGATTTCTTATAACCAGACTAACAAATCTCCCAACAGGACCAACTAACGAAAATCATTCTAATTGTAAAAATCAAGTGCAAGTGAACCTTAAGCTTAGTAGCTACCAATCTTAAGTAAAAAGACTCAAATGATGCTTGAAATAATATTGTAACTCAATTCTAACAATAATCGGATTATAATATGGAAGAAGAAATAAAGAGGAAATTCGAGGTTAGCAAAAAACACCAAATTGCTTCTGTACCGTGAAGTTGGTGAAGATTCTGAGTGGATTGCATTCAAAAGCTATCTATTCCAACCTACCAAAAAGATTCAAAAGCAAGAAATTTTAGCAGAATTCCCTCACAATCCTTCAATCTTCGAATCAAATTAATAGCCTTAAAATGCTTCTACTTCAGCTGTAACTTTCACGAAAGAAGTATCCATTAAACACAGCCATTGCGTCTTTTTCTCCACTCTTTTTATGAAAGAAACATCTCTCTTTGCTCAGTTCCTTCAAAAAATAGAAAGCTCAGTAGAGAAAATCGTACATAAATTTCTCCTCAGAATCCCCAATCTTTCTTCTGCAGTAAAAGAATTCATAGTGGTAAGCTTTTAAGGAAGATGGGTAGTGTTCAAGAGAAGGGTGGAAAGAAGCTCTTCTATGGCTCACCTCACCCTCTCATTATAGAGCTAAATAGATTGGAGGACCAGCTTAGAGGTAAATTTCCCATTATATTCTCTCTTTTTTTTTAAATTAACAAGCTAGAAAATTATGATTAAAAAATACATCGATTCAATCGAAGAATATCAGTAACTTCCGTTGGCGTCCTGTCAAATTAGAGGAATGTATGCTGATTTATTTCTTGACTTGGAGTCAGAAAAGGAAGAGATTATTCCAATTGAGACTTACCGAGTCATAAATCAACGAGGTGGAAGGGCTGCAAGAGGACGCAATATACCCTATATTTTTTACTAAGAAATTATGATTTTTGTACTTATTTTATTTATCATGCAGGCAAGGAAAGGGAGCTGGGAGAAGCCTACTCAGAGATCAAGGCCTTGAAAGCATCTGAAGAATTAAAAGACAAGGCTGTTATTGAGGTTAAACAATCTAAATAAGCTCATGAAGAAGAAAAAGAAAATAAAATGGAAAATATAACTTTTTTTTTTCATTTTCTAATCTTTTTTTGCAGCTAAGCACCAAAATAAATAAATTGGAAGAGAAGTTGAGTACAGCAGAGGAACATATTGAACAGAAGGTGTTGCCTCTCTTCATGAATCCTTATATTTAAATTTAAAAAACAGTTTAAGCATAGAATTAAAGGGTGATTTGATTAATCAATAATTTTATGATTTGAGAAACTGCAGAATCTTGAAGCAAAGAAGCTCAATGATGGAAGAAAAGAGGCGCTGGCTTCACAATATGCTGCTGAAGCAGCTTTGAGAAGAATTCATTCATCAAAAGAGGAAGAGGAATATTTCCCAGTTGAAGCTATTATATCACCACTTGAATCTGACATCAGGAAGTACAAAAAAGAGGTGAAAATAAATACTCTCAGAAAACAATTTTGAGAGATTTGTGTGAAACTCTCAGTAGTTAGGTAATTTTCACATATAGGCTTCGTTTACGATGACTTTCTTATTGCTTCTTAAAGTAGTTGAAACTGTCCCAAACGAAGTCATAGAAAATAGTTGCAAGATTTTGTAAACAATGATAAATAGCTTGTCCTATTTTAATATTTATAACATTTTTATTTAATTTACAATTGAGTATTCTACAAGTAAAATATAAAAAATTAAGTATTAGACATATAAATACATGTGATTTTTGTATTATGCATATAATTCTCTGAAACATTTTGTATTATTAAAGTTTTAGAATAAACTCTAGTAGAAATATGTGGGCTTCAATTTAGTTAGATTACTTGAGATTATTTACAAAATAGTATAAACTATGATTCATTAACATAACTTGAAAATTGTAGTTCTTTTTCACAAAAAGCCACACTACTGGAAGATTTATATAAATTTCTCAACTTTTTTTTCTTGATCCTGCTTGTTAAGTCTGAAATTGGCAGCATAGATTTTGAAACTTGGAAAAGATAAGAAGGCCTTGGAGCGCCTCACTAAGTCGAAAGAGGCAGCACTCCTTGAAGCACAGAAGATATTGCAGATTGCTCTTGAAAGAGTTCTTATAGTAGAGAATGTGCAGAGTGAGAACTGTGACTTAAGGAGGCAAGTAGAGATATGCCAGGTAAGGTTGTAAATGTGCTGAATATGAGAGAATTAGCTCATGTTCAGGCTAAGTTTGTTAATGTTTAATAATTCTCTGACTCTCCTTTTCCTAGCTTGTATTCAGCTCGATTTGAGCTCATTAAAGCTTCGTTTGAGACGGCTTTCTTACTGCTTTATAAGGCAGCTTTTGTACTAAAAAGCTGTTTTAAGAAACAGCAAGAAAGCCATCTCAAACGAAGCCTAAGACTAACGGGGTGATTATTTGTTTTGAAAATGAGAATCAAATGTGGGGAATAAGACATTTTTGTTAGTGTTAATTCTATCTTCCTTCTCTACTATGACAAATTCTTCCTCTCTTCTCTCTTCTCTTGCAATAGCTTATCCTTATTATGTTTTAAAGCTTAAGCCCCTCTCAATTTTCTCTTCCTCTTCTTCTATTGGCTTGCGGTTATGCTTAGATGTATTAGGTAATAAGCTTGAATTTATTATGCAGGTGGTGGTAGTTATCATAATGTAGATATTAGGTAATGAATTTCTAGGAGTTAGATAGAGGATAATAGGTAGAATCTTGTATTAGGTAACAATAAATCTATTTTCGTATCTTAACATCTTGAACATGGTATCTACACGACCAATCTAACTGCAAAATTTAATCTTGCAGGATGAGAACAAATTCCTTAACAAAATTTATCGCCAAAAGGTTCTTGAGGTGGAGAAGCTTGCACAAACTATCCATGAACTTGAAGAATCTCTGCTAGCCAGTGGCATGGCTGCTAACACCCTACGAGAGTACCGACACCAAATTTCTGATTTGAGTGTAATATTCCAACATACTTTTTGATGTAACCGAAGTAATTGTAAAGAAAAACTTAAGAACAATAACCAAGATAACATTTTTTTTTTCTTTTTGAACATAGGAAGAGAAGAAGGTTCTTGAGAGAGAGCTAGCGAGAGCTAAGGTTTCAATGAACCGCGTGGCATCAACAGTGGCAAATCAGTGGAAGGATGACAATGAGAAAGTTATGCCTATAAAGAACTGGCTTGAAGAAAGAAGGTTTTTTCAGGTATAACAGAAGAACACTCTACAGCAAAGCCTTACATGGGGTCCTAGTCGGGTACCCATGCTTTACTCAGACGGGCTTTGCCCACCCACGCCCACCCATGATAACTTTCGGGATGCCGTACCCACCTATACCCATCAATTTTCCATGCTTTTTGAACGCAGTTTACCACGGATTGATGGTCTTGAGGATTGTTGCCCTTTTCTCTGATTGCAAACTTTCAAGCCGCATATCAGAATTTTTCGAAGTGGCAGTGTGGTTAAGTGTTGCACACTACGTAGTGAGGATTGCAGCAATATAAGATATATGGTGATTAGCAACGTAAATCGATTTATCCCCCGATGTTGAGTACCCACCCATACCCACCCACAAGGTATGGGTGAGTACATGGGTGGGTGTGAGTATGGGTACCCAATGCAGGGCTGTGCTCTATAGCGCTCAGCATGTTGTTATGGATTTATTGAAATTTGATTGAAATGTCTTGATGTTTAAGAAGTATCTTACATCCTGAATTAAATAGTTCACGATGTCCTTATCCAAGTTTTTTTTATATATATCTAACTATTATTTAAACATTTAACTGAGTTAGCATACAAGATTTGCTGTAGGGAAAGTGCAGCTTTCAGCTTATTTCAACTAAATACTATCGTACCAGCTATTGATTTATAGGGGGAGATCCAACGACTGCGGGATAAGCTCTTATTATCAGAGAGAACAGCCAAAGCAGAAGCCCAATTCAATGTATGAACTTAACCGGTAACTTGCAATTTCATGCCTCATCGTCATCATCATTAGTGTTATCTGAAGTACTGTCATAATTTTCTATGAATCCTCATTCTCCATTTACATTTGTGGAGTTATGCAAGGGCTCTTAAATTTACTTTTCACAAACTTTTTCTTACGGTTTCTATAGATATGACCTCTTTTCTATCCCGCTTTCTTCCTAACTACTCGGCATTAATTTTTTCTATCCATCTGATTGCCATGGGTTTTACCTTTCATTCTACAAGCACAAACTACCCAATTTTATTTACTATTATTCTAATCAATAGATGCTTGGGAAAGCTTTCTTATTGCTTTGTAAAGCTACTTTTAGTATAAAACTTTCTTGAAAGCAAGGAAAAAATTGTGGTCTAAAGCCGTCCCAAATGAAGCCTTACTCTCTCTCTAATATAATCATTTTTTTAATATGCCCTTTCTAATTTTATCACACATACATCCTAATATTCTCATTCCACCATACTCAAATTGAATGTCACTGACTTCTTTATCACTCAACATTTGAATCCTTATAGTAATAATTTTATGAAATTTAGTTTTTAATGCTTGCATGCACTAATATTAGAAAAATTGAACTACCTTCAGGAAAAAATGAAACTCAGGCTAAGGACGCTGGAAGAAGGTTTGAGATTTTCCTCTCAGCATGGTGGCCCAACAAAGAAGACTTTATTGAATTCAAGCAAGTCCAAGTCTTCTATTACTGCTTCTATAATGCAACAGGCTAATTCTACAATTGGAGATACAGATACTGTTGGAAACTTTGATACAGAAAATGGCATGGAAACAAAATATATTATTGGAGAAAGTTCAGTAAGAAAGAATTCAGATCTGAAATGCAAAAACTATGACAGTGGAAAGCAGAATTCTGAAGAAGAGGAAATTCCCAGTAAGCATAAAGTAGACAGCAAAATTAGCGATAAACAAAATGCTTGTGAAGAGCTTGAAAACAGCTTTTTAATTAATGGTGAAAAAGATATGGTTTCTGGTTTTCTATATGATATACTGCAAAAAGAGGTCATCAACTTGAGAAAATCATTAGCAGAAAGAGATGGATTATTGAGTGCTAAAGAAGAAGAAATCAAGGTAGAAATAACCCGTTTCTATTCAAATAACTTCATTCCATTCTTCTTTCATTTTTCGATACTTCAACATCTCCTTGCAGGTGCTACATAGAAAGGTTGCTGCACTGACTAAATCAATTGAAAGAAAGCTGCAGAAGGCAAGAAAGGAAGCAATAAATAGAGAGAAAGTACCAGAGTTGGTTAAATCAATGGATGAGAAATCAAAATTTTAATGTGAATTTTCAATTTTGAGCTAGAAAAAAAGCCGTCCTCAATTTTAATGCTGGCAATATTATTTCATTACAGAAATGAGAAGAATCTTGAATATGCAGCAATTTCAATTGAATTGGTCCTAAGATTCTGCTATCAGTTCATCTCTGTGAACTTCTAACTTGTAAATATGGAATTTTGTGCATGTAAAAAGTGTAAATGCAGACCTGTAAGCTTGGAGAACGTTGTATTTTCATGCCTATATATAGATGTATGGAAATTTATATTCTTAAGATGTGGAGATAGGGTTCTCATAAATTTTGATTGTAAAATCAAAATGTACTATATTTTAAATTTCATGTCCACTTAATGAGTGTTTAAGGATTTATATTGTTGATATGTAGAGATAATTTTCTCATGAATTTTGATTTTGAAGTCAAAATCTAATTTATGAATTATTTCATGTGCTTTTCATGTGTATCTAAATACACTGCATAATCTCTTCAAATATGTTATGAACCATTAAATGTAATCAATATATGTTGGCAAATTTGTGCATGATAGCAAAATTAAGATTTCAAATAAGAGGAAGTGAAAAAGGCTAACCTCAAAATTAAGAGGGTAAATTTTCTTTAATATACATATTAATTGAATCATTTTTAAAATAAATTTTTATTATATATAAATTTATATATGATTTTTCTCAAATTTAAGGACTGACCCCACCTCCTTCCCTATCATGGATCTTTCATTGGTTGCAATTATTTTTAAGTTCAAAGTTGTTATGTGTGGAATCTGATTATACGGATCAATCGGGTTGTTATGTTGCCTCGGAGGTCAAGTTTGTCGTGCTTATTGGGGGGTGCGGGCGCCCGAGCGCCCCAGCGTTGAATGATAGAGAGCGGAGTACAACAACGGTCTAGATACGACATCACAGTGGATCAAGACAAATGTTTGAGTGTCGAAACACCACAAACTGGCGTCGCAGAGCTGCGAGGCAGACTTGACAGTTTTCTTTCTCATTTTTCTAAAGGGTTGCATCCCTTGGAGTTATTTACTTATTTTTCTCTTGTATTTTGAGTGAGTAAGACATTGAGAACAATGCATGTTAGAAGAGAAGAAGGAGAGAGAGAGAGAGAGCGAGAGAGAGCGAGAGAGAGAGAGAGAGGAGAAATATGTACTTATTTCTCCCAATTTTCATAGTGAATTTCTTGGTGTGGTGTGGACTTGTGATTTTTTTCCTATTTTGAATTTTTCCACATTAAATCCTATTGCCCTTTAGTTTTCCGCTACTTTTACTTTCTTGTTTGTTTCGACATTATAGTGTTTACTCTTCATCCCAAACAAAAGTGACCCTTAAAGATATAGTGTTGTTTGTTAAATTAGCTAATTTTTGTCCTTCTTTAACAAAGAAAACATGTCATGCAAATTCAATTATGTTCGACCTTAGCAGTAAATTCACAATGGTTGAAAGAAAAGCAAAATGCTTCCCTCCTAAGGTTTGTGGGTGGAGCTCCTAAAAGGTACTTTATATACATATTTATTAGGCACTTTAACCAAGAAAATATGCTATGGCGCAAATTTAATTATGTTTGACCTTATCGGTAACTTCATCACACTAGTTGAAAGAAAAGTAGAGTGCTTCCCTCTTAGGATTTGCGAGTAGAGTTCCTAAAAGATATATGATCATTACATTTATTTCATTCAAGGCACTCTGTGAATGTTCATTATATACCAAATGCTACATATTTTTTATAGTAGAGATGGGAACCATCAACTAGCTGGTTATCCCCTTCCTCCTCGAGTGCCAGCATTTTCCTCGGCAGATTTTTCCTTTAAGCGGTGCACTCGCATGAAGTATCTCTACTATCCCCCGGTTGGGTGTTCTAGGGTCCTGATTTGTGAATGCGTGATGATTTAAGTTTTCCTAACATGAGATATGTGGGGATTAATTACTATATTTTACTCATTTTATTCAATTGATCATTCAATCATCTTTTATACAAATGCCATTTAATTTATTCCACTCGAGCAATTTTCAAGATGTTCATTATTGAGAGTGGTTATTGAAATATCTTCGGTGGGTATTCGATCTAATTGGAATGAATTATATTTGGATAAGTTCATTATTTATCTTATTTTTTGTTTCTTTCCCTGAGAAAATTTGTTTATGTTCAGATAAATAATATTTGAGGATTATTAGTATATCCTCCAATTTTGTAGTTGGATTGTGCATTTAAGTAAATTTATACATAAAAATGTCTGTCAATAGCATGTCAAAGATATAATAACCTTAAAATTAGTAAAATTTAAGAAATGAGTAATACAAAAGTTACCGCGTGTCAGTTGATGCATATGTTGGCATGGTTGATTCACAGCAAATGCGATGTCTAGTCTTGTAATGGTGAGGTACTGTAGTGATCCTGTGAGGTGGTGGTAGGTGTTGGGCTCAAAGGATATACCAGTGAGTGACCGAGTGAGGTGGGTTTTGATTGGCGTAGGTGTGGAGGTGGGTTTTGATTGGCGTAAGTGTGGAGGTGGGTTTTGATTGGCGTAGGTATGGAGGTGGGTTTGCATGATGTGAAGCCAGCCTTATGTAGAATGGATAAGGTGTATTGTTCCTGGGACAAAAATAGGGAGTCTTGGCTGTTATGAGTGTGAATACCCAAAAACTAAAATGGAAACCCAAGATGTTTCATGGAGAATTTAGAATGAAGATTGTTGATGATGTCTTGAAGTTTGGATGAGGAGTTACTTGTAAGTAAGATGTCATCAACATATATAAGGAGATAAATGAAGATGCCTTGTGACTCGTATATGAGTAGGGTTGGATCGGCTTGGCTTTGATGAAAGCTAAGGGAGTAGAGATGGGTGGAAAAGGTGTGAAACCATTGTCGGGGTGCTTATTTGAGGCCATAGATGGCTTTCTGAAGAAGGCATACTTTGGTGGGATAGTTGGGATCTTCGAAGCCTTTAGGTTGGGACATATATATAGTCTCATGGAGATGTCCAAGAAGGAATGTGTTTAAGGCATCTAATTGGTTAAAGTGGCCATCATTTGGAAATGGTGAGAGTGAGAAGAACTCAGATTGAGGGCATTTTAGCAACTGGGCTGAATGTCTCAGAGTAATTGAGATCATACTCTTGTATATGACCCCAAGCTATGAACCAAGCTTTGTAGCGTTGAATGGAGCCATTTGGTTTGAGCTTTAGTCGATATGTCCATTTGCAACCATGCATAGATGTATTAGGTGGTGGTGACACAAGTGTCCAGGTTTTCTGTTGATAAAGAGCTTGGAGTTCTGCTGTCATAGAGGCGTGCCATTCTGGATGTGAAAAGGCCTCTTTGAAGGTGGAAGGTACTTTGGAAGATGTAGTAGAGGCATTGAGGTTCAGTATGTGGCAAGGCTTGAGGTGTCCGATTTTGGATCATGTAATCATATGATGAATGGGAGGGGGAGAGGCAGGAGAGATGATGTTTGGCTAAAAAGGGTGAGGCGATATTGGTGGCTGCATTGGTGATGAGGAGATGGGCGGGGGCTGTTGGGAGGGGGATGGGAGGTTGGTAGAGCTATTGGGTTGGTAGGATGTAGGTGTGAGTAGTAATGGGTTGGGAGGTAGTGTGGAGGTTATGGGTGATACTGCAAGAGTTTGTTGGCGAGTTGGAAATGTTGTTTCATTGAATTGGACGTGTCGAGAAAGGATAACTTTTTTGGTGGAGGGATCAAGGCATTTCCTTTGGTAGTATCAGAGTATCCGAGAAAGATACATAAGGTGGATCGAGGTTGTAATTTATGGTGATTGGGTGAAGCTAGGGGAAGCATGCGCAACCGAAGGTGCGTTGGTGAGAATATATGGGTGTAATGTTAAATAGTAGTTGAAACAGTGATTGTTGTTTGGTAACTAGGGTCGCCATCCGATTTATAAGGTAAGCAGCAGTTAGAGTTGCATCTGGCCAGTAGGTACAGGGAAGATGAGCAGTTTGAAGTAAAGTTTGAGCGGTCGCGATGATGTGTCAATTCTTTCGTTTGGCGAGGCCATTTTGCTCGGGTGTATAGGGAAATTGGTTTTATGAAGAATATCGTTAGCTTGCAAAAATGAGTAGAGAGACTGATTGATGAATTTAGTTCCACAGTCAATTCTTATGCATTTTATTTTAAATGGTAGTTGATTTTCTATGTGAGTTTTGAATTGAATGAGTAGATTAGTAACTTCTGATTACATTTTCATTGGAAAAAACCAAATGTAGCATGAGTAGTGATCAACTAACAGCAAGTAGTAGTGGTAGCCTTGATTAGATATCAGTGGGGAAGGTCCCTACATCTGCGTGTATGAGTTCTAAAGGGTTACATTTGCAAGTAGTAGAAGGGGGAAAAGGTAGTTTGTGGCTCTTAAAGGTCATACATGAATGACAGGGAGGATGAGTATTCGTAATATTAAGATCTCGATTATGTTTGGAGATGATAGCAATGGTTCGAGCATGGGGTTGACCAAGATGTTAATGCCAGCGAATGTCTTCTGTGGGGGCTACAGTGAGGGCGTAAGCAAAGGATCTGGGAGGAATCTTGAGCGGGTATAGGCCATTATTGGAGGAACCTCGATGTATGTATTGATGGTGCTAGTTCAGAATTTTGTAACCCAATGCATCAAAGGAAATGATTAGATTGTTGTCACGTGTGAGTTTGTAGATTGAGAGGAGATTATGAGAAATGTTTGTAGCGTGCAAAAGGATATGTAATTGTAGCTTACAGTTGGTGGTTCGTAGTAGACCTTGCCCAATATGACTGATAGGAGTAGTAGAGCCATTGCCGACTGCAATTTGATCGATTCCTATATAGATTGTGGGTTGAAGCAGATTGTTGATGTGGGGCATGAGATGAGATTTGCACCAGAGTCAAGTATCCACTCATGCTGAGGAGGTGATGTGGAGGAGGAGAAAAATGCCTTTGGAGTTGGTTTGGGAGGCATGGAATTGTAATTGATATTTAGGTGGTGCCAACAATTAATGGCTGTGTGACTCACTTATTGCAAATCTAGCAGATGACAATGGGTGCGGATGAAGGCTTGTTATTTGGTTGATTAGCAGGGTTCCGTTTGGTTGAGGTGGGATAGAACATATTCCGGCCTCAATTGTCTCGGTTGTTGCAAGTAATGTATAGAGCCTGTGTGGTGGGTGGAGGTAATTGCATTTTGGAGTCAAAACGTAGAGTTATGTCTGGACTCCACACATAATAATTTCTCCAGTGGAGGAGGGCGTGTTAAGTGCACCACAAAGAAGATATTACTTAGCTGACTTGGGCTATATAACATCAATAAGCTTATGGAGCCCAACAACAAATATCAATATCATTCAAGTGAGATTTTTTTTTGCGTATTTTGTTAGTTCTATGTCGAATCTAACTTTGTTGATCAATCGAGTTATAATATTGCCTCGGACCTCAAGTCGATTTCTCGTGTTCAAGGGGGTCCTCCCCGTACTAGGGTTTGAGTGTTTTGCACCTGGATTTTTTTGTTGTTCTCATACAACGCCCCAACTCTGTCTACTCGAGCGAGATTTGCACCTGAGTCAAGTATCCACTCATGCTGAGGAGGTGATGTAGAGGAGGAGAAAAATGCCTTTGGAGTGGGAATGGGAGGTATGGGATTGTATTTGATATTTAGGCGGTGCCAATAATTGTTGGTTGTGTGACCTCGCTTATTACAGATCTAGCAGACGATAATGGGTGTGGATGAAGGTTTGTTATTTGGTTGATTAGCAAGGTTCCGTTTGGTTGAGGTGGGATAGAACCAATTCTGACCTCGATTGTCTCGGTTGTTGCGGGTAATGTATAGAGCCTGTGTGGTGGGTGAAGGTAATTGCATTTTGGAGTCCAAATGTAGAGTTATGTCTGGACTTCCCACGTAATAATTTTTCCAGTAGAGGAGGGCGTGTTAAGTGCACCGCAAAGAAGATATTACTTAGCTGACTTGTTCTATGTAACATCGATAAGCTTATGGAGCCCTACAACAAATATCAATATCATTTGAGTGAGAATTTTTTGTGTGTATTTTGTTAGTTCTATGTCGAATCTGACTTTGTTGATCAATCTAGTTATACTATTACCTCGGACCTCAAGTCAATTTCTCGTATTCATGGGGGTTCTCCCCCTACTAAGGTTTGAGTGTTTTGCACCTGATTTTTTTTTTTGTTCTCATACAACGCCCAAACACTGTGTACCCGAGCGCCCCAATGCTGCGAAGTTTGCTGTGAAAAATAACAAATAGCAGAGTACCGCAACGCTCTAGATTCGATGTCACAACACTGTGGAGTGCCATAGTGGTGCAGTTTAAAGCATCACAGCATCGGCAAACAAATCGGGATCAAAGATCTTAATGGCATAGAGCTCCAAACTGGCGCCGCAGTGCTGCGAGATGGACTGGACAATTTTTCTTTCTCGTTTTTCTTAAGGGTGGCGTCCCGTGAGTGTTATCAACTATTCTTTCTGTTTTGTTTTGCAAAGAGCAGAGTGCCGCAATGCTCTAGATTCGATGTCACAACACTGTGGAGTGCCATAGTGGTGCAGTTTAAAGCATCACAGCATCGGCAAACAAATCGGGATCAAAGATCTTAATGGCATAGAGCTCCAAACTGGCGCCGCAGTGCTGCGAGATGGACTGGACAGTTTTTCTTTCTCGTTTTTCTTAAGGGTAGCATTCCTTGAGTGTTATCAACTATTCTTTCTGTTTTGTTTTGTGTGTGACAACAGTGTGTCAGAGAAGATAATCAAGGAGAGAGTGAGAGAGAAGAAAGATTTGTACTTATTTTTTTCAATTTTCATTGTGAATTTTTTTATGTTGTGTGTCTCCATGTTTTTTTTTTCCAATTTTTTTATTTTTCCAAGTTAAATCATAACGTCCTTTACTTTTCATTACTTTTACTTTCTTGTTTATTTCGTAGCTTGGTTTCTTTTTTCTTCATCCCCAACACATTTTGTGGATAGTTAGTGGCATAGGAGTTGTATAACCATTAACATGTTTATGTTAAATAGTGGAGAGAACCTTTGATCATTAGAAAGAGATGTTTCAAATGCTAACTCACATGTCATTATTTCTCCTAAATGTATAGATTGATATTGTGCTTGCTTTTTATAGTGTTGTACAATTTTATTGAATGATGTCGTAAACATAACATATACTTTAATGTCTCAAATTAAGATGTAACATGATTGTTTGTTGGGTGAGGGCATAGCTGATGATACGCAAAAACAGGTGAGAGAATTCAAAGATTTATCAAGATTTAGATTTTGTTTGAGACAGCTTTTTTAATACTTTCTAAAATAGCTTTCTAACACAAAAATTATTTGAAAGTAGAAAAAAAAAACAGTAGCCGAAATTGTCCCAAACGAACCTTAATCGATTTAACTACCTCAGAAATTAAAAATTCAAATTTATAGAACTTACTAAAACGCCTACTTGAGTTAAATTCTACTCTCAACCAAACAACAAAAAATGAAGATTGACTCTTGAACAAGCTCCACCAAATTGTGCTGAGATGGACTAGTCTGAACAATAAGGCCCAATCAAAATTGCCCCATCTTATCCATTTCCCTGGTATAAGATTAGAAACATGTGGTTCTCATAAGGCTCTCTCTCTCTCTCTCTCTCTCTCTCTCTCTCTCTCTGATCTCTCTCTTCCGTAATCTGCTGAAATGGCTCAGGCAGCTCTCTCATTCCCCTGCGCTGTAGGATTTTCTCCGCAACCCAAAACTTCCTTCCTGTTATCCTCTTCCTTTGTCATTCCGACTACAAACAGCAAATCAAAATCCAGAATTTACGCAAAATTAGGTAATCTCGATGGAGATGGAGAAACAAAGCGTCCGGAGAAGAAGTTCATAACCAGAGAAGAAGAACCAGATCAGTAAGTTCTTCCTTCTTCTCTCTTGAAAGTCCTTAAACCTTCGAAAATTTGTAACAAGTCCAGAAATATCATTTTACATTAGAAAATGAATGTAGTGGTGTTCATAGAAGAAAGAATTTACTAAGAAGTTTTGAATTGTAGATATTGGCAGACAGCAGGAGAGAAGGAAGGAGAGAACCCTATGAAGACTCCATTGCCTTATATCATTATCTTTGGCATGTCTACTCCATTTATCATATTAGCTATTGCCTTTGCTAATGGCTGGATTAAGGTGCCTATTAGGTGAATTAAACCGGCTTGTCTTTGCCATGAGGAATATTGTATTTCAGCATGAGAAATGATCATTTTGCTTCATAAAATATGATATAATAATCAAGTTTTTTTTGCATTTTCACCTGATTTGAGAATATTTTATGCCATATGATTCAAACTTTTTTTGATCAAATCTTTGTAGAAATAGCAATTTTCTTCAGCTGTACTACGGATGGAACGTGGAAAAATTATTTTGTGCGGAAGCGGAAACCGTCCGAATAATTAAGCCCGCGTCTCAGTATCCCTCAGTACCGCGGTACCGAGTGTCGTTACCACTCAGTACCGAGGCTCGGTATCGCTGACATGACTCATTTTGATTAGTATCCGGATGTAGAGGTGTGTTTGGCGTCCGCACATAATAATCTCTGAAAAACTTGAGAGATGTTGTTGTGGTAAAGTTTTAGGTGTAAACAAAATTACAGATGAGAGGTATATATATATATATATATATATAATATCACTTACAAAAATAATTTATTTCTGATTGTGATATTATGAAATGCACAAAAATAAATTTGATATCTTTTCTTTCTTTGTGATTATCGACAATATTATGATTTTCATATAATAATAAATTATATCTTTATTTAAGTGATTGTTTTTAAGTCAATCACCATATGCAATTAATAACTAAGAGTACAGATACTTAATAGAGGTTACAATAAGTTAAGAACTAAGTAGGAGCTTAGTGAATACAAAAAAATGATTATGCCTGCAATAATATTCAAATATTAAAAATTTATTCATGATTGTCAAAGCTGAGTTAAATTATTTCATCCCTTTTTTATCTCAATCAAAATAAGGAAGAATTTTCCAGTAATTATTGAATGAAAATGCCTCAAAGTTCATAAAATACCAATGAATAATTAATATTTTTTAAGTTTGATATAGGGATTCATTTGGGCAGTCTTCTTAATACTTTTTAAAATAATATTTTAATTAAAAATCTCTTTAATTTAAAAATTTTATATTTAAAAATTATTTTTAAAATAAATGAAAAAATTGTCTTAAACGAAATCGTAATTTAACAAAAAAAAATAAGAGTATCAAAAATATTTTTAATCTAAGATAAATTTTCTTTTATCTAAAATAATTTTTTATACAAAAAAATTTGATCAATTATACACTATAATATAAAATAAAATAAATGATTTTTTAATTAATTAGGACTTTATTTAGGATAATTTTATACGTGTTTTCTAAAATAATTTTTTAATATAAAAATTAAATTTTTTTTATAAAAATTTATTTCAAGAGCAGTAAAAAAATCATCTCAAATAAAATCTAAGTCAAATAGTTATACACAAATTTTATAATCAAAACTCCAAATCAAAATGTTATCTGAGAAAATCAAATTTCTCAAATGAGAAGAAAAAAAAACTTAAAAAAAAAAAAGGGTCCACGGCATTTTATAAATTCCCGTTTTCGCAGCAAACCCTAAATCATCTGTCCCGTTTTCTTGCCAACCACACGACCGAGCGAGCGAGCGGCGGCGGCTTTCTTCTACGATTCCTGCTTCACCGGATCTCAGTTTTTATTTTTCTTCTTGCAAAGTCTAAACTTGTAATCTTCCTCCTCCTCCTCCTACCTCTCATATTAATCATTTTATTCACGTCACTGGTTAGTTTTATGCTATACACGCCGCAGCAATTGCTATGATGAAGATGCTTGAAATTTCTATGTCTGGACTACTGAGATCATTCCATGATTGCTACACAAGCTTCTTCTGAGCTATTTTTTATACATTGTTGATTGTTTCACATTTCACCTGTACTCATTCCCTCTGTTTTATCTGTAGATCTTTAATGTTTTGTTGATGCAGGAAAGCGTTATCTCGCTCTCTCTGCACAACTTTCTTTGCACCAATTACCCTCACTTTGATATATGATTTTTGTTTTATTTGAGTAGATATGAAGGTGCAAAGAGGGACATGGTTGGCTTACCAGCTCAGTACATCTCTTCTTTGGTACTGAGTCAAATGGTCCTACCAATATTCTCAACGTTTTTTTCTATTTAATCTTTCTGATTGAGGTTGATCTGTTTAACATTTGTTTTTGTTTTGTGATGTTGTAAAAACTGCCGATCATTTCGTTCCAATAGTTTTAGAATATTTTATTGGTATATATAATTATTTTGTGAGGGAGGGTCAATATAAGGATGATAAAAAATGTAGAATTGATGGAGTTGTCCTGCATTACTTGAACAATAGGAGAATTTTCAAATCTTTTGTGAACATAGCTAGGAGATTATTTTAACATTGATTGTTGGATTTGGACATACAAAGGGACTGTTAGGTAGCAGGATTTAGGGCGGATTTGAGCTAAAATGCAAAACCAAATCTCACAGCAAATGAAAGCTGTCATAGACGGAAAATTTCACCTTTTTTGTGCTAAATTCTGGATTTCCTAAATCTTGGTTTTTGCCAGATTTACGAAATCCTTTGGCTTGAGAGGAAGAGTCTGCTCGTTAAATCCACTCAATAGTTAAATAGTCATACGGGATTTAATAGGATTTATCATGAATGTTACCAAACAGTTTTCAAGATTTAGGCCTCTCTGGATTTCCGAAATCCGGATTTAGCGGATTTATAAATGCCTAATTAAATCAAATCCTAGGTGCTACCAAACAGCCCCAAAATGTTTCTTATTTGTGTCACATCATATCATATTATAAGTTTTAATAGAGGTTCTTCAACTTATGATCATTAGTAACATGGGTAATGTTATTGAAAACTTATGGAGTCATGCATATTGGGAAATAACAGTGACTTTTATTTACATTGACTTGAAAAGAAGATTGAATGAAAAGGTATTTTATCTTTGAATGATGATTTTTATATTAGTTGTAACTAATATGCCAAATCTGAAGAATGAAAGTGAAAGACTGAAATGAGAGAAGTGAAAATTCTACATTGAGGGTGCAACAATTCCAAAAGTGTTAGAAGATAGACACTTGTATGAAAATTTTCTATTTGTTTGGATGTGTTAGTTTAATGAAACTCTACTTATTTCATGTTCCAAACTGCAATTAGGTATCAGAAGGCTTTTAGAAGCTAAGAACATGAAGATTTTGATTTTGCTTGTGATTTGGAAAGTAGACATGTTAGTTTCTGTTGGGAGAATGCTATGTTGAAAAGTTTTATATTGTTACTTGGAAGGTATAGACAATTTGATTGGAAGAATGTTTTGTTGTTGGAAAGTTTAATATTGTTTCTAATGCACTATCTAGTTCAGCTAATGAAAAGGGTATTGAATCTTATAACAAACATGTATGAGTATTAGAAAAAAATTTATGCCCTGAAATTTGAAGCATGGAAGGGTAGAAATTGACGAGCCACATAAAGCCTTAAGGTCCAAATTCTATGATGTAAAGATGAGCCTTCTTTTATTTGAAAAGATATCTTGCAGTTCCTCTGATCAATCAAAATTAGAGAAATATTTTAAAGATAATGATGACTTGATGATGATAATTTATTGGAGAATTTTCTCCTACAAGGTAGAGAGTGAAGTTAAGCAAGTATAAAGTTCTTTTTTTCACATAGGTGTTTGATTTTGTAAAAAGTGAGTTTAAAATATTTCAAGTTTAGAGATCATACAACAATAAAAATAGCAAGCTTTTATCTTGTTATATGGGTCAGATACATAATTTTTTTTTTGTCTTATTAAGAGTTAAATTATTATTATTTAATTATGTAAAGAAAGATTATTTTTAAAATTTTCTGAAAGTCTTTTTAATTCTGCCTCTATCTTTCTTAACATAAATAAAGTTTAATGCATCTACTTTTCTAATTAGCTGCTATTTTATGTAACAAATAAATTTGATTGATTTTTTGGCCGTCTTACCAGCAATTGCACCAGTTCTGTTATGCGCTCTAGATTTGTTAAGAGCATCCTCACTCCCTATGCAAAATGAAGGAAATTTCCATGGAATTGAAGAACTTGATAATGATAATGATATGCCACATTAATAGGTGAAGCAGATCAAATCCCTACAACATATATGAAATCATAAATATTTGAATTTATATTTTAATTAATAGTAATTTAATTCAAAATCAAATAAGCTTGGCTTTGCTAAATGAGTGGAGAACATGAAGAGATTGATAATATTGACAAATGTGTGTGTGATTCTTTTTACTAACACTTGAATGATTATAATACTGTTATTTTATTGATTTAATGATTCTCACGCTTGTTATTGATTCCTAGTTTCATTATAATGATGTTTTTACTTTTATTATTAATCATCTTGAGCTTTATGAATGATAATTAATCATTGATGAGATTAATTTCATTGATAGAATTGAGTATGCATAGTGATTATTCTAGTCTTGTGTTGAAAGTTTTGATAAAACTCTTCATGTGGATTTTAATGATTTTAAGTCATAGAATAAGTTAAGACAAGTGAAGTGAGATTGACAGAAATTTTCAGGTCATTTTTTAGATTTTGTTTTATATTTTATTTCATGCTTTTGTTGTTAGGAGTTTGTGATAGATTTTTAAATGTAATAAGCTTTTTGCTAATTTTGGTAAATAAATATAGTGAAATATTTTGATGTATATAATTTTAATTACTTTAGTTGGATATTTGATTATATTAATGATTTATAAAAGCTTTGATATATTATTAAAATGATAAATAAACAATTTTTTAAAATTTAATTCTAGGCCATAACCAATGGCTTGCCAAAGGATTTTCCTTTCTTGAGTATTATTAGCATCATCAATAAAAGTAATCATAACTTTATGAGTAACAAAGAGTCATTCCTCATGACTAAATTGAGGATCAATCATCAAAAAGGATGAGGCAACACATGTAGAGTTCCATTTGATCCAAATGTGACCATGCATTGTTATGGCCGTCTTTAGAATGGAAGACATTTCATGTTATGAAACTCACACTAGTTTTCAATAGTGAATTTTGTTTTAAGGAGATAGAGCGTATCAATGTTATGATCCTTCACACTATTTTTGCAACCAATGATACACTATCACCATTTAAACCCCCAACGTTCCAAGATAGGATATTGGGACTAGTTATAAGAAATTGTTAGGCAACGGAGGGGGAGGACCCCCTTTTGGCATGACTTCTTGGCTTTGGAAATTGAAAGAACAAAGGAGATTGAAGAGGTGTCGGTATAAGAAGCAAGGGAGATGGAGGATTCATTCACTTAGGGGATTAATGCAGGCTTTTATGCTAGTGGAGTCTTGGGCAAAAGGGGGAGGGCTCCATTGTCAGGGTCAACAAAAGGATGAATGTGAGTTGAACTAGAAGGTGATGATTGAAAAGCTTGGGGCATTAAGATCTCGAGTTAAGGACATATGTTAGAGAAGCTTCAAGGATATTTGGTGGAGCATGTGGAAGCTTTTCGAAGGAAACAAGATGGTTGAAGGCACCCATTTGATGCATGAGAGCTTATCTTCTACTCCCGCCATGCTTGAAACCTAGAAGAAAGGAAGAAGAGGGAGAAAGAGAACCTTGATATTCTTGCCTTTGATATTAATGTTAGTCTCATCATGAAGGACAAGGGAGGTAAAGATTTATATACTCATGCGAGCTAAAAAAAGGCAAGAATAATTTTTTGTGAGGGGGTCAACATTGAGAGGTGCGCCAATTTTGTTGGTTATTTTAGATTCTAGCTTGAGACTAGAGGTGTAAACGAGTCGAGTCGAGTTTAAACCCTTATCGCGCTCGGCTCGTTACATGGAAAGTGAGCTCGACCTCGAGCTCGATAGTCAAGCTCATCTAAATGTAAACGAGCTCGATAAGTTCGGCTCACAAGCCCATAAACGAGCCGGCTCGGCTCACTTACACCCCTACTTGTGACCCACAGCAAAGTAGATGATTGAGACATTTAATTCATGTAGGAATTTCTATAAAAATCTTCTTTAACAAGGATAAATTTGGTGACCATCATTCAAAGAATAAACAATTTAATTTGTTTTATGAAATAAAAGTTTGAGAAATAAACTCCTAGATTGGTTGCTTTATTACACAAAAGGAATACGGCTTAGCTTATTTCACAAACCTCTCTATATGATTTACTTTCTCAGGAAGGTATTTATAAAGCTCCATTGAAAAAGCTCATCCAAACCCAATAAATCATTTGAGCATCAAAATTACTCACACGAAAGCTGTTTCATGATTAGAATATTTATATTGGATGAATTATTTAGTACGTGAAATTAACACAATTTTGTCTTCTATATTTGCCAAAAATACTGTAGTATTACTAAAACCAAAAACAATTATAAAAAGTAATGCACAGAAATCAACCATACAAAAAAAAATTATAAGAACATAACCTGTAGCGTATATCTGTTTCATAACATGCGCGCATCTCCCCCACGAGGAGAAACAGTAGAAGACAAAAAAGGAAATTCATAGAACAAGAAAGCCAACATTACTCACAGGTTTTAGAACAGATTTTGAGGCCTTCTTTGCTTTCCAAAGCGCCATTTGCTTTCCTCTGATTTGCATATTTTTCTTGCTGGTATAATGCCTATGCTTTGCTTTTGGTGGTGTTCCGAGCTCCTTGACAGCTTCCCACCATAAGAATCTGTGAGCACGGTGGGGCTCAAATCACTACTATCTTCAAAGTTTCTATTTCTGCTTGGAGAACTGTAGCCCGCTCCTCTATGGTCCTAATAAATTGAAATACTATACATTAGAGAAATAAATTGCAACAAAGGAATATTCCACAACCGGATTCATAAACTCGGTTTCCGTACAAAAGTTAACTTGGGTTCTCTAACCTTGGATTTTACTTTGGAAAAGCATGGAGTCAGACAGGGATTTATGTCATCTATTCTAAGAGGATCACCAGAATTATATTCCTGTAAAACAGTTCTAGAATAAACAAAATGAAAAGAAACTAAAAATATCAAGCATCAATACACGGTCGCTTACCGGAAAAATTATTTTGCGCGGACGCTGAATGCGATCCGGAGACCAATCAGAATGCGTCATGTCACCCTTTCGCTCAGTACCGTGGCTCAGTACCGTTGACATGACTGCACTTGATTCGCCTCCGAACTTAGAGCTACGTCCGGCCTCTACACAGAATAATTTCTCCCCTTACTGAGATTTTCCCCGAGTATTTTTGCTGTTACTAGCATGGAACGGAAAACATACCAAGGCATCAGGAAATTCCTTGTCATATTTAGGAGTTGTTGGAGAACAGACATGCCCATCAAAGCAATTCTTTCCAGCATACTTATCAGCCTTCACCTGTACAGTGTACGAGCATTTTCATCAAGAACGGATATAGTAGTGAAAATGTAAGAAGGTTTTCCCAAAAAAAAAAAAAAATGTAAGCAGGAAAGATTGCTTTAGAATTTTTGACCTTTGTGATGATTAAATATTTCTGATGGCTGAAATAACCGTTTTAGTGACAAGTGGCTGACCAAAACAAACCATTATTGGTTGTAACAGAAATCAGGAGATATACTTTGGTTGATCTCATTTCCTTTAAAGGTTTAGCCTGAAAATTTTCTTTGGTGATATGAAAGAAAAACAAGCCAAGCAAGAAGATAATCATAGCAACTTGACATGAGCAAAAGCACAAATTTTATTCTGCAACTGTGGTCTGGCTTATTTATGCATTCTGAAGGAAGTAAGCTCAAGAATTTAAAAAGTGGGTGAAAATAGTCCACATATTTGTTCCATCTTTTCAGCAGCCTTGTAGACATGTTACCAAAGCATTTTTTTTCCTTCTGCAACGCATCAATTCTTGTATGAAAATTGTAAACATGAATATATAAGATAACGTTTATCATTCTTTAGAAGGGAATAGATATTACGCTCTATATTCAATCCTACATGAGCTTGGCAGCACAACTATGGATTCATGGAGACATTTTTATTTCTTCTTGTTTTACATTAAAATATCTAATAGACATTATGCAGACATGGTCTTTCTAGACCGTCTTACTTTCACATTTACTTCAAAAGAAAATAAATATCCACTAATGCTAGCAGACCTTTGCATTTGTGCAGAGGATCTTTTTTAACTCTGCACAAATGAGAAGAATACCTGTTAGGGGGACTATGTTGAAATCAATTGCTATATTAAAAAGCCAGCAAATTCCTAAAGTTAACTACAAAAATATTAAATTTGTTCAGTGGCTACAAGCCACTTTTTCCTATCCTTGCGTGCATTGTTTTCTGGTATTGATGCTTAGGCAAAGGTCCCTTCTTTTTAGCAAACTTTACTAGTCAAATGGCTCAACATTACAAAAAAGTATCGGATAAGAAAGTGCTTAATTGAAACTTAATATTTAAGAGAAGATTGCTTTAATTGGTAGCTGTGCAAAAAAGGTGTGTGGTTTTCTTTTTCTTTAAAATGAAACAATAATTCTTTTTTAGCGGGTGCATAGGAACAAAAATACCCTACTTATTATTAAAATAAGGTTGTCAAAAAACTTGGTTTGCTTTCCATTTCAGTTTTATGATGTATGCCTTTGTTTTTTATTTTTTTATAAATAAGAAAGCATAATTTAAGTTAATTAACTTTCAATGTCTTCTCCTATTGACACGCATTCAACCTTGGCAGAAATCACGCCATGGCTAGTGAGCAAGCCAACATTGGCGCTCCTTTGCACCACTAGGATTTCATTCTATTTTTTCCTAATTCGCCAATGTTGCTGGGAACGCACAATAATGTTAGTGAGGTTTGAAAAATATAGGCCTTGTTGTAAAGTCATAATCATACAAATCCTATTCATCAGTTACTCTTTTTTAATTAAAATGTAATACTTGAACTAACAAAAATCCAAGTTTTTAATGCCTATATCTTAAAGTCGTGATGAAATTACAACTTGGAATTGATATGCCCATATTTTATATACCCAAGTAATAATGCTTGAATTTTGATTAAGCCAAGTAATGATACTCGAATTATCATACTTGAAAGAATTGCTAGAAATTATGACTAGCTAGCAATCCGAGTATTAAAGCTTTGTTTGGTAAGACTACTGTTGTTTGGAAGTCCGGTGAAAAGTTGTTGTAAAAACTGTGGTGAGAAGCAATTGATTTCTATTTGAAAGACCTGCAGTTGAAATGATGTTTCTAACTCCAAAGTTATTTTTTCTTATTTGATTGTAGAGGTTTATATACGTTCTTCTAATTAATGGCAAAAGGCAGCAAGAAGAAAACTCCCTTGAAACTATTGAGTTTTAACCCAGAGATGGTCTGCCGTCAAGGGAGGAGGCAAGAAACTCATGAATCTCAGGTCGAAGGAGGAGGCTTGTTGGGATCAATTTGAACGAGAAGCTCTCAAAGGTCTAACCAATTGAGGAAAACGAGAAGAAGCTAGCTAAATTGGCGACAGAGAGGCCGAAGCCAGTGCCAAGATCTCTTTAGATGTAATCACTTGGTGAGTTGAGGACATTGAAGCTAGTAGCAAGGGAAGCCATGAGTTGGTTGCTGGCTCAGATCTCCATCTTCCCATATATGTTGGCTAACCATGCAACAAGCGAGATGGAGAGCAGACAGGAGGAGGAGAGAGATACGGCTGCAATAATGGTAATTTTGATTCATGAGATGGTAAAGAGAAATGATGTAGTGGATCGTCGGAAGATGATACCTGTTGACTGTAACCGTTTATCCACCGACAAAACCCGACCGACTCCACCTCAGCCACGATCGGACCCAATCGAACAACCACCCACGTCGCCCACGATCGCATTTCTCTCGGCAGAAACCGCTCCTCACGACTCAAAATAGGAAACTCCTCTCATTCGGCTCTCAGGCTCTCAGACAGACGCTCTAAAACAAACGGACGCAGAGACTCACGCACACAGAGAAAGAATTTACCGAATAGAGGCCGGCTCCCTTCGATCTCTTTTTTTTACAATCTTTTGCTCTGACGCTCGAAGCCGAAGCCACCGACCTGCTCTTCCATCTCCGGCCGCACCTCCTGCTCCGATTCCAACCAGCCGCCACTCCCTGTACAAACATCAATCTTCCGCCGTGCCTTAGCCCAAGACCGAACCAATCTCGGCTTCCAAACCTCAACCCACCGGCCATTAAACCGTCTGACTCTGAACAGCCGTCGTCTTCGCCGGCCGACCCCGACCTCCGCCTGCTCCGATCAATCCGAGCCCGTGCGTGGCCTCCTTTCCCTTGGGTGGCTTCTCTGACCTAGCCAAAATCGGGCTCCTTCCCGATATTCCCTCCTCCCCTATTTTATATATTAATATATACTATATCATAAGTATATAATATATATATATATATATATTCTTTTAAAAAAAAAAAGTGAGAGAAAGAGAGAAAGAAAGAGAGATAGAGAGAAATGAGAGGATTTTTCAAACAGGAACTTGCAACAAATCTCCGGCAACCAGAAATTAATAATCGTCGCCAATCAAAGCTTTTGAAGACCAATTCCGGGGCCCGTCAACGCCCCGAAGCCCTCGGCCGTCGATTCGCTCCGGCCGGGCGGATTTGAAAGGGCAAAAGCCCTCCTTACCTCCCGGCGCCGGGGAGGTGACGCCGGGAGGCTGCCGAAATTTCCTTAAAATTTTGGAACTTAGCCAAATTTTGAAAAATTGGAGGAATGTGCATTAATTTGGAATTAATTGATTAATCAATTATTAAATTAAAATTTAATTTTAATTATAATTTATTTAATTAATTAATACAATCAATCGGAAATAAGCAAATTGTCTCAATCGGCAATCAAATACATCACCAATCTTCCTAAGGATCTCTAAAGGAGTCTTTTTGATCTAAAATAAATGTGATGAATTTCGCTAATGATGTCAGAAATCTTATGTATTTTAATAGTGATGATCTATGTAAGATTTAAAAATGACTACATCACATACTATCCATGAGTGATAACATCCAATAGTAATTAAACAAAATTTAAAATTTATACTAAATAAGGTCAAACAATAGAACACTTGACAATTAATTGTCATTTGATATCCTGTAATGAAGGACTCCTCTAGGTTCCTTTATGAGAGTTCTTTGGAAACGGTGAAAAGTTGTAAAAACTGTGATGAGGAGCAATTGATTTCTATTTGAAAGACCTGCAGTTGAACTGATGTTTCCACTCCAAAGGTATTTTTACTTGTTTGACTGTAGAGGTTTATATACGTTCTTCTAATTAATGGAAAAAAGCAGCAAGAAGAAAACTCCCTTGAAACTATTGAGTTTTAACCCAGAGATGGTCTGCCGTCAATGGAGGAGGCAAGAAACTCATGAATCTCAGGTCGAAGAAGGCTTGTTAGGATCAATTTGAGCGAGAAGCTCTCAAAGATCTAACCAAATGAGGAAAACGACAAGAAGCTAGCTAAATTGGCGACAGAGAGGCCGAAGCCAGTGCCAAGATCTCTTTAGATGTAATCACTTGGTGAGTTGAGAACATTGAAGCTAGTAGCAAGGGAAGCCATGAGTTGGTTGCTGGCTCAGATCTCCATCTTCCCATATATGTTGGCTAACCATGCAACAAGCGAGATGGAGAGCAGACAGGAGGAGGAGAGAGATACGGCTGCAACAATCATAATTTTGATTCATGAGATGGTAAAGAGAAAGACGAAGGATAAGCGTGGGGTAAGAAAATAGGTGGGTCGTGCGGATCCATCGCCCAACTTAACAAAAGCTTCTACATCTGAAATTTCAAGTTTTAAATGATGCCTTATCATAAGCAATTCATGAACACTCCATCCAACTGAGAACATGAAGATCATTCCAAGAAGCTCCATTCAAACGCTCCATCTCATATTCACCCAAGTCTTGGGAATGCTTATCCAATCGATGCCAAGTAGCAATACTCGAGTGAGTTGCCACAAAATCAATCATGAATGCTAGGTTGTAAAGAGAATTATTTTATCTGTCGTAGTTGTCCAGATTTATAAAATAATGAAAATAATAATTGTTGTTCTTGCTAAGAAGAGTTCGTTTAGTCATGTTTTTTCACAAAAGGAAATTATTAGGAGTTTTTCTTGCAAATTTACTAAACAACAAATTATTGTGAAACATTAAAATTCCAGAAAGACGTTAAGGGCCAAACAGAACGATTAATTCGATAAAATAAAGAAGACTGATAAATGACTACCTCTGCAAGATCCACTGCAAGGCATTGGATCTTCCCCGTGAGAGACGAAACCTGCTTCTGGAGACAGGGTATGATTTTTCTAGCCTCCTTTAACTCGGATCCTTGCCTCTCAAACAGCTCATGAAGCTGAGGATTTATAAGATCTGGGAAAAGTATCGCATCCTTCAACGCCTTTATCTCCTCCCTTTGCTTCAGGCATAGATCCTTTAGTTTATCCACCTTATCGAATGACACCAGTATAAGAGAAACCAAATCTTTTGGAGCTAGAATGACGTAACTGAATAACCTCATAACTTACCTCTAGATTCTTCTCTTCAACAATGAGCCGCAGCTCTGCAATTACCTCCTCATACTCCTTGTTCTGGCTCATAAGCTCCCTCTCGCTGCGGAGCACCATCCCCAGCGTACGAGTATTGTTACTCACCTCCGTCAATGCCTTCTTCGGCATTCGATCCCCCGATCCTGACCTGTTGAACAGCTTAAGATGGAGGCTCGAAAAGCCACCGCCGGATCCCTTACCCGCTGCCTTCTTCAAATCCTCCGCAATAGCATCAGCCGGTATGGCGAGTTCCATCCTCCTCGCCGATCCAGTCTTCAAAATGGAGCGCTTCTCCATGAACTTCTTGACGATGGTGCCGAATGTCGGTGGTTGGTTCTTCACGATCATGCGGGAGGAATTATCAGCTGTGACAGTGGCAACGGTGGGATTGGAGGGATTGCGGCGGCTGCCGGAATTGGAAGACAGATTCTTCAAGGAAGGGAGTTTCTTCGAAGTGCTTTTGAGGCCAGAGGCCGGGGAGGGACCGCGAGATGAGGAAGAGGAGCAGGGTTCCACAGCGGCGTAGCGAGAGGGAGCCTTGCAAGCGGCCATTTTTTGGTGGACTGTTGATGTTGGGATCAGAATCGGAAATTTTGGGAAATCCTACTAGGGTTTGAGCATCACTTCAGCTGTAGAATTGGGAGTTTAGAAGAGTGAAAAGGGACTTTTTTTTTTTCTTTTTTGGCCTTTGCTGAACAAATTCGAATTTGAGCGCGCGGCTTTCGGTAAAATGGTCTGCGGGATTTCCGAATGTAAGAGTTGTACTTCGTGGAGTTCGGACCCCGACTGTGAAGAACGCGCGCTGCATTACAGCTTGCTACATTGTTATGCGTCGCAGCAGAACGAGAATGGGTGGGCTCACCATTCATGCGGCGAGGGCAAGGATTTTGACATATAGTGGAGGGAGGCATGTTTTAAATTTCTTATATACTCCAGAGCATTTTATAAAAAGTAGCATGCTTTAATTTTAAATTAATTTAATGAGCAGGTTAATAAAAACAATTTAAAAAGAGCCAATACAAAACTCAATTATCCTATTTTAATAGAAACATAAACTTTATTATTTGATTTCTACTTTGACGAAATTTTAGCTTCTTAAGAAATTGGAATTTCATGATCAGATTTTTCGAATGGAGTTAGGCTGGTAAATGCGGCTAATGGAGTTGGGCTGGGAAGCGACGACGTGGAAGATCGAGCAAGCGTCGAGTGATTGATTGAATGAGAGGCAATGGTCGATTTGTCCGTGCAAAATAGGTAATAAGGGTGGCTTTGAGATGAGTGAGGAGTGATAGGAGAAAAAAGCACGCAAAGGGAGAGATAGTTACTTTCACTGTGAGTGAGCTCTTCCAAATGTTGTGTCTTCCAATCCAAGATGAATGGAACGTCATAGAAATAGTGAAGATGAAAAGCTTTTGAAACAAAGATGGAGGAAGAAAGACGATGGTTCTTGAGGCAATGGAGGAAGAAATGAATAAGGGTTACCATGAACTTCTCTCTCGTGCCAACTAATTCTTTTTTCACTTGCTTTGAGCAAGTTTCGTTTACGAGTAAAGTGAGCTACAAGAATAATTCCTAATATGTTATGATTTTACTTTACATTCCGTCAAACAAACAAAAATTAATACATTCCTTTTACCGTGCATTTCTTTTTCCTCCAATCAAACAACCCATAAATCACTCATCTCTTATTGTTGAACCAGTGAAGCTAGTGGCATATTTAAAATCATTTTTATATTAATTTGAATAATATATATTTTATATTCTAAAATTATGTTGAATTGGTTTATATGATAATATTGTTTGTGACAAATGAAAGATGAAAACTAAGTGATTTTATCCTTTGATCTGCCTTCCATGAATATAATATTTATGCATTCTTCATATTATTGTTCTTTTTGAATAATGATATCTTTCATTGTAATTATAAATGTTGCATGATTATGACCTACTATCTCTATGAAGAGATGCCTTGCTTTAGCCCTTTTTTGAAGAACTTTCCACACAGGGATCTCATAGAGGAGAAGTTATTCCGTGCAAAGTCCGGAATGGAAGAACCGTTATACAAAAAGTTGATACATATTGTGCATAAATTTGTATAAAATGTGCACACTCACATATCCGGACGCTTCTTTCCGTCCGGACTCCGCACGGAATAATTTCTCCTCCTAGAGAGGGAAAAGGGGAAGTAAATCAAAGATATGAAAAGGAAGAAAACTCCTAGATGAAAAATGAAGCAGCAAAGAAGTAGAAAACATAAAAAATTATGTTACACAGCTGCCTGGAAAAGCCAAAGGTTTCCTAAGTGCACTCCTGCTGTAACACTGGTAATAAAGCATTTATAATTCAAATATACAAGAGCAGCACATCAACATATTCACAAAGAATAAAACATCTATAGCTGATTCACAATAACGAACATTAGAAGAATGGAAAACGTTCATGCGTTGGAGAAGACATAAAAAAAAGTTATGTTACCCAGCTGCCTGAAAATCGCCAAAATCATCTTCAGCTGTACCTTGAGCAGCTTCTTCTGTGGCAATAAATGGATCCTTGGGGGGATTCTCTGCCACCGGATCTTGGATTTTTCCACTGTCGTTGCTGCTGCTATTAGGACTGGAATTAGATGCTGGAGAGCTCAGTGATGATCTCTCGATCGAACTGATAGGAGAGGGAGGCGCCGGCGGAGCTGGTGGCGGCTTAAGGAATACCAAACCTCCCTCTTTCACGGTTGGTTTATCTTCCAGTGAAACCTTGTTGAGGCGTTCAAATAATGCCGACTTCACACCACCGCTTCCTTTCTGTTTCATGCAAGAGAATGAAAACAAGTTAATTCTAGGTTGTACACAAAAATCTGCTATAAAATAGTCAACTTCATAAAGGATTACGAATAGGACTGCCTGAGAAAAGTTTGAGGCAAATACCCAATGAATATTTAATGGAAACCAAGGGGAAAACATGTATTTGAAAATTTAAGGATCTAATGGAAGGATGTGTGGATATATTAAGACTGCATTTTTAGTAACTGCTGATTTGTGCATGTGGAGACAAAGCAAGAGAAGAATGCACAAGATATATGGGTGGAAGGATGTCATGGAACGTTGTTACAGCATAGAAAGTGCATAACTTCATATTCTAAGGCTTTGGCTTCGTTAGGGAGGGCTTTCTTTCTGCTTCTTAAAGCAGTTTTTTAGTAAAAAAAATTAATTTTATACTAGAAAGCTACTTAAACAAGAAAAAAAAAAGCCGTCCCAAATGAAGTTTTCATTTGGAACAGTTTTCTAATTGCTTTCTAAAACAAATTTCTAGTACAAAAATTTCTAATTCAAAAAATTTTGTGCTGAAAATTACTTTAAAAATAATAAGAAGGTTGTACCCCACGAAGCCTAATTTAACAGCACTAGAATGCCGAAATCTACCGAGATGCATCTTTTTATTGCAAAATGGGATCATAGACACAACTACTCCACTAAAACAAAATTTTCTTTGTAGAACTTAAGGGAATATTAATACAAAATAGGATTGAGGACATAACAATGTCAAGACTTCAAAACAAATAACAACAGCTGAGACAATCTCAGCTGGCAAGAGAAAGAAGTTATTCATTCTGCTATGTTTACAAATGTTTAGAAGTTAGTTGAAGGCCTTCTGACAGAGCATCTTGCTGCGAACCGGGAATGAACAAAAATGATAGGAACAGAAATAATGAAACCTTAATAGACTGTTGAGCAGCTTCTAGATAAAATCGAGAACTTTTATGCTGAAAAATACCAATATTTTTTTTAGTTTGCCATTACATTTTGGATGTCTTTTTCCGTTAGCGTAGAAAAAGAACATTTGAAATAAACAAAAAATTGCTAGCGCTAATGAATTAATTAAATCCAAGATATTAAAACTTAATTAAAGAAAGCTATCTTGTTAAAGAGAAATTATTTTTCTTACTGTAAACTGTATTCTAATCTATCAACATGTGTAAGAAAAAAAAATAGGAAAATAACTATTGATGTTAAATCAGATTGAATCTTTCCATTTTCTCAAATGGAAATTTAATGCGATCAGATTTACTCCTATATTAAAGCATGATACACCAATTAGCTTCCCAATTATGATGAAACATGTTCTGACCGTTCTTTGGTTTTCAGTTGCCAATGGACAAAGCTTCTTTCATAGTAAAATAATTCTCGTGTCATCATTGGAAGAGTCACCACAAATTTTTAAAAATATTCATTAATATTAACATCCATACACCACCAAAGTGAGGCCAGCTTCTCCAAACCTACTTCATTAACAACTTTAGCCTAAACGAATGAAGATTTGATATATTTTTTATCGCATGAAGTAGCAATAAATTTTAAATCACTCAAAGAATTTCAACATGAATCTGTTCTATTGAGATTAAAGCTGAGAAAACAAAGAGAACTTACATTCTTGATCTGAAGAACGAGAGTTTCTCCTTCTTTTAGACTATAATCAACTGAGGATTTTGATTGGTAGAGTTGCTCCATCTCCTCAGCAGTTTGCTTTTTATTTAGATATCTTTCATTTTGTTAAGGATAAGCAGTACTATGGGTTGTGCTGCTTGAAGAGATTATGCTCTAAAGATCCAATACATGGATATTCCAAATAAATGCTCTAATTATAGAGAAGAGAAGGGAAGGATACTTCATATGATCATGGAGTGCAGCTTGAAAGTCATAAGCCTGTGGCCTTTCTCGAAAGCCTATACCAATAAAAGCATGTCGATGTCTCCCACCTGCAGTTAGTTTATGTTCCTTTCATGGGTAATTACATGATCCCAAAGATCAAAATGCTGAAGGAATAAAGAATAAACTTCTTTCGCTGCAAATAATAGTCATCTAACAGCCTATTGTATTAAGCATATTGCAGAAATATAAACATTCAAAATTAAAAATTTACAGATAAGCTCTTGATGGAAATATGCACAACTAAAAGCAGTGTAAATCTCTTGAGCGTTTCCTTATGAGCCACTTGAGTACGTTCTCTAGAGCATCTCCTTATCATAAATTTTTACTCATATTCATGTACTGAAATTCTCTCAACTTTCCTTCAGAACAGCTCCAAATTATATTAAATTTAAGAGCATCGAGGGACGGACATCCATCTCTTTCCCTCCGTCTGAAGGAAAGTTGAGAGAATTTCAGTACAGCTATTTGCCTAAATCTGAAGTAACCTCAAACAAATTCAGAGAAGATTTTAGAATCTTATGAGTGCACCTAAGTATTTTAACCTTGTAAACTGACTCCAGTAATGCAATTACATTACATCACAGAGAAGTCTGAAGTAAATCATACCATAGTCCAAATCACATGAAATCTGTTAGACCGGTCCAAGGAGGACCGGTCCAGCCGGCCCAGCCCCTTGGGCCGGCTTTGATCGTGTACACCAGGAGGGCCGGCGGACACAAGAAGAAGGGAGAGGGGTGGGGTCCACTTGAAGTTTGAAGTATTTCCTATCAAAATCATTTTTCAAGGGAACTAGACTATAACAATATAAATTCTAGTATTGGGATGGATAACAATCATGAAGGATGGCTGACTCTTCATGCAGCATAACAAAAGAATGTAACCCAAAAGCATCAGAACAAATTACAAACCTGTAAATCTGGAATTTAGGAAAAATAGAACCTTGCAGTCAGAGTTACCTTTTAACATCTTAAATTTCTACACGTAGCGCCTGACCAGATTAATGAGAAGGTTAAGTAGGAATCTCATTCAACTTCAATTTTAAATAATAAAGATCTTGTTTCCAGCAAGTACTTGAAAAAATCACTTGCTGCAACTAAATCAATGTCAATGAATAAGCCCTTATTTCACTGATTCCCCAACCAATATAATATAATACCATTATCTTTAGCACAAAAATGACACCCTCGATGCAGGGTTTTAAAAATAAGTATATACATATACTTTTATAAAGAATAACTATTTTATTGAATTATTTTGCAAGAAATTAATTTTGGCTGTCATGGCTTTATTAAAACACTATGTTCTCCTCTTCATGAACCGTGTTGTTTTGCTGAAATTGTTATCATTAAGTTGTTTTGAAAATTTTAGCAATATGATATTACACTTAATAATACTATAAGAGGATCATATTTACTTGATAAATATACTAATTATTTTTGTATTCATAATTTATTAGTTCCTATAAAAAATTAGAAAAAAAAAATTAATAATAATTATGGTCGTTAAAGAGTTGACTGATAAATTATGATGGATTGAAATTGGGCCCAAAAAATAGCCTTGCCAGAATCCTATTAGAAGTAAAAAACTTAATACAGTTAAAATAAGTATATAGAGATAAATAAATTCCTAGGAATATTAGCTCTTTTAATATATCACATCAGAACTTCAATATTATTTCAATAAATTGAAAAAATATATCAGATCACTCATTAACCATAAGCTTTATGAAAGATACTCTTTATCTTTGTGACAATTCAAGGTTAAGGTTTCCTAAGATGAATAGAAATATACAATGTATGTAAATCATGCAAGAGAACTTAACGAATCGCAAGTCACAAACCATAAAAGATTTGTTTGGTTGCAATTAGGGGTGTAACTGAGCCGAGCCAACTCGTGAGGCGGCTAGAACTCGACTCGTTAACGAGCTCGTGAGCCGAGCTTGTCGAGCTTCGAGTTCGAGTTCGAACTTATAGTCTAGTCACGTAGTATATGAGCTTGAGTTCGATCACAACAGTTTGAGGCTCAAGAGCTCATCAAGTCGGTTCGATAAAAATTATTATAATATAATCCCTCCTATATAATTCGCGAAGCCCAGCGGCCCTAGCCCTAATTTCATTCAAGAGCATCGAGCGACGGACATCCATCTCTTTCCCTCCGTCTCGTGTGACCTACCGAGTGTAAGACGAGATAGTTTCGACACCAATACACGGTTTGCACTCCGTTTCGAATCTTCTTCTTCAATCTTCAACACCTACGGAGGTTCGCACTCCGTTTTGAACTTCGTATTTGGTGAACTAAGCAGTTTTTCTTGGTTCAATGTTCTACAAATTTTCTACTTTAGTCCTCTTACTGATTAATGTTATTTCCTCGTAAATAAAATCGTTTATATGTTTCTTGACTGGTTTTTTAGGCGTCTGAATATTCCAGGTGGGTGATTATTCGATTATTTTACAGGCGAGAGAATGAAATCGTTCATGATTTCATCTATTTTCTTTCTTTCTGATTTTTTATTCTTGGTTGATTCTTCTGAAGGGTAATGATGTAGAATGAAGATATTTCGCTATCACAGCTGGTAAAACTTTCTATTACAACTGAAGTTTGTGACGTCTATTACAGCTGTTAAAACTTTCTGACATCTACATGAAGATGATTTTGCTATGGATTATAGAATATCTATATTTTTTCTATAGTAATAATGTAGCATGTTTGGATGCTATGAAGATTCTTAGGGAACCACAACATCCATTATCAAGAGGATTCATGAAAATTATTGTTTGTAGACAGCTGCTAGCCTGCTGCATTTGTTCTATCTTATATTTTTGGAATACAGTTTTTGGGTTCTTTATGCATTTCAGACATTTTTATATAATTAGTGTTTAAATTTGATGATATTTATTATAATCTTGACAATGCAATTATAATTTTTTTTTAGAATGTCAACACCAATAAGTATGAAAAGGGATATATTGAGCCAATAAATACTGAGACTAGAACACTTAATGATCATCTTCACTCTTATGTTGGTAGTCATCCTGAGAATGAGAATGATTCACATAATAATAATAATAATATTGATGAAGAGGTTGAAAAGTGCACTAGTAAGAATCAAATGAATGATGATGAAGATGCTGATGATATTATAGGAAGAAGGAAAAGGAAAAAAAATATCAATAGTTTGAGATGAGTTTAAGTTATTCTTCCTGATGGACAAAGAAAGGGAGAATATGTATATTATAAAAAACAACTAGCTATAGGATATACTGGTGCAATCACCTATTTTAAAAGACATTTGAACCGTTGTGCTACTAGGATTCGTGCCTTAAAAAATTAAAAAATCTTACATTTTCAACCAACAAATATAGAGAATTCATTTGGCCAAAACAGTTAAGATGGTGGAATATTGACCACCTTTAAATATGATCATTAAAAAGTTAGAGAGATGATAGAACATTATATATTAATGAGAATTATTTTTGGTTGTTGAAGAATTTGGATTCAATTTAATTTTGAAGTCTATGTCACCTTTTTTGTGAAGTACTCAAGGGTAACAGTACACAATGATCTGATACAACTGTATGAAAAAGAGAAGAAAAAGTTGAAAAATGTTTTAAAGAGCATTAACAAAATTAGTTTTACTACAGATTTATATAAGTCAAAAAATCAGAGAATATCATATATGACAATCACATCACATTACATTGATTCACAATAGAGGTTACAGAAATAAGTTTTAAGTTTCTTGCATTTGTCACCACCACATACAGCTACTAAAATTGTTGATACCTTCTACAAAGCTCTTTCTGAATAGGGTGTTGGGGACAAACTATTTACTATATCAATTGATAATGCATCAAACAATGATATAACAATGAAGCTTTTAAAAGATAATTTTATAGTGAATGAAAAATTATTCTGTGAAGGAAGGTTGTTTCATATCTATTGTTATGCTCACATACTAAAGCTAATGGTGAAGGATGACGTAAAAAGTGTTGAGTATACTATTAATAAGATAAGAGACAACGTAAGTTTTGTTAATGCATCTGAAATAAGGTTAATCAAATTTTTTGAGGTTATACAACAATTATAATTACCAACTAGAAAAACTATTAATGAACATACTCAATGTTGACAGTGACATTGCAGTTAAGGGAAACTTTTTTTCATATGATAAAAGAAAAGTGGCATATCTTGCATGTCTAACAGAGGATGAGTGGGATAAAATTAAAAAATTTTATGATATTTTGGAAATCTTTAAGTTCAAGCAACTGATATCATTTCAGGAATATATTACCATACATCCAATGAGCCAATTTATTTCTTTCATAAATCTATACTATAAAAAATGTGTTGGATGATGAAGCAATTTCAACTAATCATTTTATTGTAGAGATTACTAAGAAGATGAAAGAAAATTTTGATAAATATTGGGGTGAATGTAATCTCCTCATAGCATTTGGTGCAGTGATGGATCCACAAACACATTCCTCCGGATGGTGTGGGGGAATGAAGCGTTCGTGCTCCTTGAACTTTCTCTTGCAAAACTGCTAACTTCATCACTTTCTGCTTCAGAACTTGTAATATATTCCTCATACATTTCATAGAGTAGATTTCTTACATGCTGCACATTCCTAATGCTTTTATCTCCAACATCTATTATAGGGTAGGCAAACTCAATAACAATAAACTTCATTATTGGATCCATCACTACACCAAATGTCATGATGAGATTACATTCACCACAATATTTATCAAATTTTTCTTTCATCTTCTTAGTCATCTCTACAATAAAATGATCAGTTATAATTGCCCCCTCATCCAAAACCTTTATTATATACATTTACGAAAGAAATAAATTGGTTACAATGTAATATGTTCCTAAAATAATATTAGTAGCTTCGTTAAAAAAATCTCAAAATGTCACAAACTTTTTCAATTTTATCTCAATCTTCCTTTGTTGGACATACAATATATGACACTTCTCTTTCATTATATGAAAAAGGATTCTCTTAACCATAATACCACTATCGACAACTTGTTGAGCAATCCA